CCAGACTACACTTACAGCTATCACAGGGTTGCCATTCTGTAGCAGTTCTAACGTCTTCTCAGGGTGATTGCACATAAAACAGGCCCAATACTTCTTGGCAGCATTGAACTCAAATACATCAAAGAACCGAGAGCTTTGCAGTTCCTGCAGTAGGATATCTTGGTCCTGGAATCAAACATAAATATATAGTGAGCTGCTTCATTATACAAATACTATCTTTTAATGAGTTTGATGTATGGTTTTATGAAGTTATCACTTACTACATATGTTAATTATATATGCGATATAAAATACAGTAAGAAACATATTGATAATGAACTGCTTGACATCGTATAAAATATTAGTTTGCATTATCCAAATGTTATAAAAATTGTGTTTCAGTATTTCTGAGACAAATTATTAATGCTCTGCCAGGGAACACATGAATCGCTTCATTCATTTCTTCTACTCTTTTAAATATATATATACATCTATGAATTTTATTAACCAAGGGATTTTGAATGTAAAAAATGGATTTTATTTCAAATGAGAACAAACCCTTTAAAATTATCAGAGATGTGGTTCATAGATTTTTAGATCCTTTTTTCAGAAATATCATTTATGCTAACAATATACGCTGTGTTTAAGGCAAGAGGGCTATGAGTGGTATTGTTCAATATTAATTATTATTTCATTCTCACAGAAGAAGTTAGACATTATATTCGAACAAAAGATGAACATGATGCGTCGAAAGGCAAGCTTTTCATTGGTAATGAAAAAGGTGTGACAAAGTGAGGGAATAAGGTTTTTCATCTGCATCTCTGGACCATCCTCGGGCCCTAGGGAAACAAACCTTAGGGGAAGGGAATGAGGAAGTGACAAGAGTGAGGAAATTGCTCCGTTCTCCCCAAAGACTGTCCCAGCAGCTCCTTAATGACTGGATACTCCCATCATTCTGGTTCAGCGCTGAGGTAGACTGGGCCTGGGGAAATAATGTCAATTCTCTTCACTTATACACTACTTTACATCACCTGAACAGTTTTTGGTGAAAAATTGAAAAAATGTTACATTTGTATGTATACAGGGAATTTTTTTCCAAGTAAAACTTTCACCGTTAACCACTAAAACACATATTTGCCAAATATTTTTACCCTTCATATTTAATTACTATGACATTAATAATCAATATGCTGTTTCTTAATATTCGCTTTAATGATAAATTTGCCCTCATTAATGATGGAGGGTCAAAAAGGTGGAATTAAACTGCATCCAAATTTATCTGGTATACAGTAATATGAGGGGGAAAATGAAAAAAATGCGAATAAGAGATTTTAATATTTTACAACCTTATCTCAAAACTTGACAGCTTATGCAAAGGGAATAAAAAGTTTATCTCAATATGTGTCAATATGACCTACAGTTATATTGAGCACAATACTACTGTAATATTATCATGCTTGTAGTCGTCATCTTAAAACAGTGTACCTAAATATCAAGCTCAATTAAAATGTCGCCTACTTATATAATTATATCACAAAGTGAGAACCATTTCTTTGTCCCATTTTTGTGCCACAGTAAGAGAAATGAACAAAAGAGGTACATACCTGTACAGCCAGGAACATGACATGGATCCAGGTTTTGGGTACTTTGGTGTTGAGAGAGAAATAGGTGTTACCATAGAGACATTGGTCACCTTGACCCCCACACAGGAAGTTGAGTCTAATGTACCGCTTGTGGCGCCCATCTACAAGTCATGATATATTAAATTCTACTTATTGGAAATATATGATTTTATTTCTCATCAAAGAAATATATTGTTATTGTGAATTTCCTTATTTCTACACATGCATACAAAAATATAGCCTTTCGAAATATCTTATGGTAAAACTAAACCATATTCAAAAGAGCACACTCTGGTTTCTGCATTGTTTCTTAATTTAAATCTTTATGTGTGATTTAAAAAAATAGTTTAACAGCTCTCTACAACTTTATCCTAACATTTTACATGAATAAAACAATACGATTATATTTAAAAGAACATATGCACACTTTTACCTGTGATTTGTGTTAGGGTATTCTTCAAATTCCTTATATCATTTGTTCTCAATTAGCGATTTCTAGTAATTCAAAATTCATTCTGGTTTTCAGAGTAGTTTACAACTTTTGCAATCTGACTACCTTCAGTCTACATGACATTGAATGTATCAATGTTTTACCACTTCTTGCTAGGGTCAAGGCTGTGAGTGGAGATGCGAGTCATTTTTAGAATTTCAGTTGGTGCAAAAAAGACAGAGGGGTGCCTAAAGTGGAAGGGGTACTAATTACAGTGATTAAGGTATATCATTCAGGTTTCATCCATTAACAAACCAAATTATCATGTATATTTTACATGTTATCTTACAGTGGAACTCTTTTGTCAAGGAGATTGATGCCATAGTAAGGCTGCATGTATCCTTAATATGTATCTTAACACAGACTGAACACTATTGATTGGTGAATACAGAGTACTTACTGATTATGCTGCACTTAGAAGGCAGAGGGATACGCACGGACATACTCTCTATAAAATTCCGTATGATGGGCATGTGTTTCTCACAGAAGTTCTGGACCCCATCACGCAGAGGTTCTGGCTACAGGTATAAAACAAGGCATCACAAGTGATACAAATCCTCATGTGTTCACACATTGTGCGCCACATGTATGAAGAAATGAATAGAAAATTCAATGATGTAACAGTAACTGCTCTAGCGACTGCATCTGTTGAGGGTATTGTTATAGTAAATAATTGTATCAAATCCGTTGAGGAATGAAGTCGATAGAGCGATGACAAAGTTTTCCTCAAAATAGTAACAGTGACCCTAAACTTTAACGCAGTTACCCGAAACGCAAATTGTTCAAGGTATGTCATACCAAACACTTGTATCAAGTTTCATGAAATTCTGTTGAGGAATGCAGTCGCTAGAGAGATGACAAAGTTTTTTCTAAAAATACTAACATTGACCTTGACCTTCAACATAGAAATCTGAAATGCAAACTTGTTCAAGGCATTGCCATATCAAACACTTGTATGAAGTTTAATGAATTTTGTTAAGTAATGAAGTCGCTAGAGCGATGATAAGGGCTAAAAAACAAAGTATCAAGAATGTTATGCCCTTCTCTCATGCGTCCACTAAATTACATAACGTATCTTAAAAACTTCATTTGTCTTGACATTGTTTTGGAAAGAAATAACGCAAATTGGCAATAGTCAGCATTATAGTTTCGGTCAGGTACGTCTGGACCCCTCAATCTACACGTGCCAAATTTTCCTAAGGTCAGCCTCGGTCCAGATCTGTGCCTGTCGTTTTCTTTACAGGTTCAACCGGTTCAACCGTTTCAACCGGATATGCAAATGTACCCAAAGTTTTTCTAAAAATAGTAACAGTGACCTTGACCTTCAGCACAGTAACCCAAAACACGAACTTGTTCAAGGTATTGTCATACCGAATAAACGATATCCCCTTGAACTTTCGATGCGAGAGGATAATAAAGAAGATAGTAACAGTTCGTACAAATATCATATTAATGTTTTAGTTCCAAAATGTTGTAGTAAAAGTACAAAGAGGGTCTTAATGAAAGTCAAAGCAGACCCTACAGCAGCCTGAATACTACCCTACTGTGTGTCTTTATATTGATAACATATTTTAAAATCAGCGTTGGCAATGGATTACTGCAGTTGTGGTAATGGAAACATCTTGGCTGTAGACTGCCCCGTCCTCCACTTGTCCGGGTCAAGTTACCACCACTGCCAATGGGTGTATTACCTGTGTCGTAAGTGTCCTGAACTCATTCACCTTCACCGTTCCAATACCACAAATTCATCAGACATTGTAATTATGTAAATATTTCAGAGTTTATTTTTTCCTTAATAAAGACTGCTTTATTGGATACCTACAGTCAACAATGGGGTACTTACAGGTAACCAAAGAGGTACTTACAGGTAAAGGAGGACCAGTCTGTGTACTGCCATATGTCATTGCACTGGTCATTGATATGCGGTCTGAGAACTGACTGGACAGTGGACTGACCGGCCGATCCATAGGTAGACGTGCTTGGGAAGCACTAGCCCTGAAGAAACATAACTATTAGTTTATACATTACAGGTAATATTCCAGTTTTATCGACTTGTGAGATGTAACTTCAGTGTGGTAATTCAAACTTTTCTTTGGAACCAATCCAGTTTTGGATGAGCAAATACAGGCATGTATCTTGCTCAGGCTTCAAATGTATCGGAGCAAATTATTACAAGATCAATAAATTTATGATTTTCTCTCCGTGAAAATTTACATGTATGTGGAAATAAATGTCTCAATATATCATTACCCTTAGCCTAGTGGTTCAGAAAAGACATTCAAATTTTCAACCAATTTGACTCCTGTGACCTTGAAAGAACTTAATAAACATTTATGCCAGCATCCTACTGGCAAAATAACATGATCATAGGCCTCCTTATTTTCAGAAGAAGTTGTTGGAATTCTTTAACACATTTGACCCCTATGACCTTGAAAAGTGGGTCAAGGTCATTTATTGAGATCAAACTAAGTAGCACCTCATCCAAGCCTGATACTTTGAAATATCATCAACCTTGGTCTCTTGGTTATTCCAGAGAATTTTCTGAAAGATTTTAACATATTTGACCCCTGTAACCTCGAAAGCGACTCAAGGTCATTCATTTAAACAAATTATCATGGCAACAGGATTTTTGGTTATTCAGTAAAGTTGCACCCCAGCTTGCCATAACCAAATAGCATGACCATAGGCCTCACGGTTATTCAGAAGATATGTTCAAATGTTTAAACATGCTATAAACCTTTGCTCTAGACAGACTGCCAATATCGTTCATTTTGTTTATCTTTAAAGTCCTAAAATACCAGCATGCTACTAATGGCCAAATATCATGACCCTTAGCATCTTTGTTTTTCAGAAGTAATAGTTGTTTTTTTTTACAAATTTGGCCCTTGTGACCTTGTCACTTATTCAAATCAAATTGATCGCCCTTCATCCAAGCATGATTTCTTCAGTCAAGCATGCCTACAGCTAAATATCAGACCATAGGTCTCCTGTTTTTTCGGAAGAAAATGCTTAGAGTAAATATCTGACATCTGAATGGCAGACAGATGCTGCTCCATGCCATAAGCTCACTTGTCCTTTAAGATTAAATTGTAGATAACAACTTTTCGCCCATACAAATTTTTGTCCTTTGCCCATGAAATCAAATTTCGATCTTCACATTTCATTACTATCTATATTATGTTTGTTTTTTATATTCGCTGTAATGATAAATTTGCCCTCATCATAGAGGGTGAAAATGGCAAAAATTGCAATTCAGCGAAAATTTCGCGGTATACAATTTACAAATTGTGTTTTGAAAGGGAGAGAAGCATTGTGTGAGGACAGGTTGGCCATCCTACCGTGATGATTTAGCCAGACTCTGCTGGCTGGACATGTTACTGGGTGGTAGTGCTGTGTGGCGAATAGCCACCGCCCCACTAGGGTAGGCAGCGTTTGGAGGATTGCCCACAGTGATGATGGTGACAGTTCCCTCCGTCTGGCTCGACACCGATCTTGTCTGTTTAGTAGGCTCTGTTGGAGTAGGCGATGAGCTGAACAAAAACAAAAAACAATTTGCTTTAGAAAAACAGTTCTTTATCTTAAAGTTAAGGGAATGCTGTTTGATAAGTAAAATACATCTGGTAATTGTGAAGGTTAAAGAACTGAACCTGGGAAAATAATCTAACGAGTAAAGAGATGTGTCATCAGAAATGTTCCACTGAAGTTGATTACTTGATTGTTTTGCAGAGTGATCAAAGTCTGAAAATAATTGAAACTCTAGTCCTGACAAAGTGACTACTATGTGCTGCAGCCCAAACTGAAGCACGGATCAGGTGACTACTAGTGAAGGCTAAACTCCAGTCCACACCAGGCCATCACTGATGTAGTCCAGGATCTAGTACTCACTATTTATTGTTATCCTCCTTTAGTTGCTGGACAAGAATCCGGACAGCACTGGATCCATTTTGAGACAATTTTGAGATTTCTTCGAGATTCAAAGCCAAGAGATCATGGTTGTTTAAGCTGAGTGCCTGGATAAAAAGATTAAAATAAAACTCTAAATATATACAATAACAAGAGAATTTCACAGCAGTTTGTTATATTTAATGATCAGTCTGATCAAACAGAACTGACCATGGTTACAGCTAATTACATTCAAATATTGGCCAACAAACAACCTGTCCATTAAGGCAATGTAATTTCCATTTATAACTGCCTAACTTTAAATATCATGATTTTAAGTATTAAGAATTGATCAATTTATCTTATAATAACGTAATTTTTATGTTTTGTAGTTTAATTACCATTTAATAGTTACCTTATTTGAATTTATCAAATTTTTATGAAATTATGTACAGTACTACTTATATATAACTTTCAGTCTAGATAAATCTCTCATTAACCCCTGAAGACACATTTGAACTATTCCAACTCAAAGGTTGGAATACTTCATTATAAAATATCAGGGGTGAATGAGTTGATACTACAACTTATACTACTAAATGTTTTATTGATGGGTCTACCTTAATCTCCTGTAAAATAACAGTTAGAGCCGTCTGGTCCGCACTACCGAACTGAGACACAAAATAATCCATGCTCTTCCTGGCGTAGTCCTAAAACATACAAACACCACAATCATCCTGTGTTACGAAAATACAGGTACATTTAATTTGTCTCAAGACCAACTCAATTCATCATCCAATGAAATCCACCAAAGGAAGAATCATCCGACAATTATCCATCATTTCTAAAATATGTGTGTACTAGTTTATTGCGAGGACTGTCATGGGCTTTGCCTGTTGCCCAATTCCTCTTGTATCTATGATTTAAACAATTAAATATTCTGAAATGAGAAACATTTTTATATAAAATCTGCACATACAGTTTCAATACAACTACCGGTATGACAGTTTTGCGATGTAATACTCATAATTTTATAGGTTACATATTGCTTGAAAAGTGAAACTAGACTTGAATTAAAACATTAAGACATGATTTTATGACCCCAAAAGTATGCTTTTTTTTCAGATTTCATAAAATTTACATAGTAAATTCATGTTTACTGACAGACTGTTATGTCCGACTAAATAATCCAGTTTCAGACTAATGTAAGTAATTCAGGATTTTGTGTTGTCATGTCTCAGGTCTGATGCAATAGTCCTGTCTGGTTATCTTATTCTAGTATGACTCGCTTAGAAACAGCTCATCAGCCTACCTTGTTAATGGTTGCTAGGGTGCCCATGATCTGTATGACTTGTACTATGTATGTTGGTTGTTGCTCGGCAACCTTCTGTAGAGTGGACACATGATCGACAAAGATGAGTGGACTGGCTGTTGCCATGTCAACAAACAGGCACAAAATCATGGGCGACAAGGTATTTGAGGACAGATATTTTACAAATTTTGGAACATGCTTTTCAAGCACCTGAAACAGAAAAATGAATACTATTATGGTAATTGATCATATCGAATGATGTGCATACAATTGCTATTAATGTATATCATAGAAATTGTGTTGGTTAATTTTTCATGACTGGCTTCCTTTACTGAAAGATGCCAATACATCAATATTTTTACGATAGAATATTCCAATTCTCTTTGTTTCATCTCCACCAATGGAGATTTCAATTATTTTTTGTCACATTTTTTACTTGAAGTTACTTGCCCATTTATCAGTAATCACCCATTCCATTTTTACAGAAATATCTTGGATCTGCCTTGAGGATTCAACTCCCAGATCACAAGTTTATAAAGCAGAAAACTTCGCCACTATGCCCCACAGCTTATGATTTTTGTTTTCTGGCCATACTTGTGTCACCCTGATAAAATACTAGCCACTTCCTACCGACTCGGCTAGGGAGAATTTCTCTTTAGCTCATTCGGTATAGAGTGTAAGACTAGTAAAACAGAGGTCCTGGGTTCGACTCCTAGCGGAGGCATTGAAAAAATAATTACTTCCGTTACATTGGTGCCCACGTAGGGACCCAGGAGATTTGACAAATATACTCAGCGATACTTTCACAAGAATCGCTATGTTCCCTGGAAAACTTGGGACAAGTTCTTTTCTGGAGGGGTAGTGTGTCACCCTGGTAAAATACTAGCCGCTTCCTACCCACTCAGCTAGGGAGAATTTCTCTTTAGCTCAATCGATAGAGCGTAAGACCACCTGTTGGCATTATGCATCCCAAAGAATGTTCATTTTGTTTTTATTTTTCTCAATGTATTTTTCTCAGTTTATGACAAACAATGGATACCAAATGTTATGACCAGTTGACCTGTGATAATTGGACCATCAACCTGCTGTCTAAATCATCCAGGTTCCCCATCACAAAGTCGGTGAGGAACATGTAACAATGCAATGTTTCTGGACAACAATAATCTGTATCACCAACAGGTCACCTGTCACACATGCAGACACTACGCACCCTGTATGTACTGTAAAGTTACACTTACTTTAGTGTCAGTCTTGGCTATCATCCCAAACACCTGGAAGAGACTAAGCCTCTCTGATGGCTCACACTTGTCTATAATCTTGACCAAGCGATCAGTCTGATCAATGACTGCCTGTCGACACTGGGTAAATATCTGGGGGAGCACGGTACTCAGAATGTAGTTACCTGTGGGGAAAAATCAAAATTACAGTAAAATCTCAGGCAGTTAAAGGTCAGGTATTCTAAGGTAAAATAACCTCCAGCTTTGTAATGCTGTGTTTTGTATGAGGAATTTGTGAAAACTGTCTTCAGTGTCTCATGTATGTTTTAAAACTCTTCTGGCTGTACAATTATCACACTTCAAGTCTATATTACCGTAAAAACCCATGTAATTTGCGCACTTTTTTTTCAGAATTTGTTTTGTAAGCAAGTAAATGTTTTATGTAAAATATTGCTAAATTGAATTGATGTATGCCGATATGCGCACACGTGTGTGTCATGTGTAATCAGATAATTCAAAGAAAACAACAAAATACACATTTTACGTAGTTTCTTCTTGGTTTTTAATATCATTTTACATCAATGAAAAAAAATTCATAAGAATTATATTTAACAAAAAATTATTTAGAGTTCGATTTTCGGAGCATGAACATCGGGTTTTTTTCAGATTTTTTGGGTGCACAAAATATTCCAGTAGAAGCTTTTTTCCCGATTTTCAGCCTCAAAAAGTACCTGCGCAAATTACACAGGTGCGCAAATTACATGGGTTTTTACGGTATGAGACATACAATGAAAACACTCTTGTCCAGTGACCTGTAACCCTGATATATAACAATCAAACTGTTAGTTTTTACATACCCCTGAGCATGCTGTTGAGGATGAGGTCCATGTGACGTGCCAGGAGGTCAGCGTTGTCCAGTGCAGCCAGAGACAGGTAACTGGACACATTGCGTCCCAGCTCCTTGTTATTACAGCATAGAAAGTTCACAACCACAGGAATAGCTAGGATCATTACCTTCCCCTTGCCGTAGTGCTGTAAAAAACATTCCATTTAAAATCTCAGGCCCTAATAATACAAAACTCTGCTACAATTTTATTGTTCTTTTTCTCTCAAATTAAAACACAACCAATCTTAAATTATATATATGTCACCATACATATCACATTCGAATTTGTGTAAGAGTGATCTCCCTTTAAATAGTTAAATAAATGTCCCGGTGTGTCATAATTTTATTTTTTAATCAGCTTATATTATCCAAGTGTGTCTTAATTGTAATTATTACTCAGCCTAAATCATATACCAATCTCGAATTTTGCTCTAACCGCTGTTACTCTGACCATAGTCCGGGACGGGTGCATGTATTTCTAGTATTTATATTTATATACCGTAAATTTGCGGGTATAGTGTGCACTTGGGTATATAGTGCGCAGGTACGTTTATGGGGTAAGATTTGAAGAAAAAAATAAAAATTGAAAATAAAAATGATTTTTTTATTTTGGAAAAAAATCCTAAAAGTAAACGGTATAAACCAGGAAAATTAAGAGAAGGTACAAATTGTGTCGCCAAAGAATTTCATTCTTTGTTGTTTTTTAATCTTCAATCTTATCATATATGACAGACGACTCAAAATCAATCTATTTGAAGGGAGGTAATCCAATATGGCGGACCAGGAACTCGAGAACGATAACCCAAGAATGACTTGTTCCTGTGTATAGTGCGCACCCCCTTTTTGACATGACAATATTTACCTAAAAAAGTGTGCACTATATGCTCAAATTTACAGTAGTTAATTGCCTTTCGAAAGGAACTGATATATATACAGTAAGTACAACAACGTCCTTTCGAAAGGAACTGATATATATATATACAGTAAAAACACCAACGTCCTTTCGAAAGGAACTGATATATATATATACAGTAAGTACAACAATGTCTAGTAATGTGTCTTTGCTCTATGAAAATGATTGGAACCTGACCATAAAGAGGCAGCTCATGATGTCGGAGGCGATCTTGGCATGGGGAGGATCCTTCTCCTGAGAGGACGGGTTCAAGTTGTGTTTCTGACATAGCTCCAACAGGCGTACTAGGGCAATGGCATGCTCCTCAATACTCTCAGTCTCCCTGAGGGAACATAGGGATAAAATAAGGTTTGGTCTGTTAAAACTCAATACTCTCAGTCTCCCTGAGTGAACATACGGATAAAATAAGGTTTGGTCTGTTAAAACTCAATACTCTCAGTCTCCCTGAGGGAACATAGGGATAAAATAAGGTTTGGTCTGTTAAAACTCAATACTCTGTCTCCCTGAGGGAACATAGGGAAAAAATAAGGTTTGGTCTGTTAAAACTATCATTAAAACATAGAAAAATACATCAATACAGAACGGATATTTTGTTGTTAACATACATGTATACATAAAAATTAGCATGATGTTGTTAAAATAACAATTGTACCGTTCATTTGATTTGTTTCTTACACAATTTCTGTACAAACAATACTAACATATATTTCTGTAATTTACCTAATGGCTGTGGTAACCTGCATATAACTGTTATTTGTTTGATAGCTGTAGTAACCCGGGTAACATATTTCTGTAATTTACCTGATGGCTGTTGTAACCATGGTAACACATATTTCTGTGATTTACCTGATGGCTGTTGTAACCCTGGAAACACATATTTCTGTGATTTACCTGATGGCTGTTGTAACCCTGGTAACACATATTTCCACTACACTCTGGTCATTGTCGTTAGAAGCATAGTCTTTGTTGTCAATTATTTCTCCAATCTTCTGAAGGACACTGATAAGGTCCCCCTTGATAGCGCGGTCATCGAGGGAGAAAAGGTCACCTGCCTTTGACAGATCCTTCTTATTCAACACTTGGGCAAACAACTCGTGCATTTTCTGTAGAGTAAAATTTCATCACGACAAATTTTGTAATTTATTCTACTTTGTAGCTTTTGCAAGTACATTGTACCACTGATTTTGTTATGATTAGCTAAGAATGTATAAAGTAGATCATTTTATCAGGCTCTGAAAATACATATACTGTATTCAAAAAGTGCTGGATATTTTTCGTACATATGTGTTCTAATCATATAGTATAAGACAGAAAATACATATTTATGAGATGCATTATAAGAGTGAGAAAGAAATATTAAACTACAATATAATTTCAAAACACTCTATATCAGGTTTCTATCTTTCAATAAGACATGATGAGCTGTGGTTAATGGTAAGCTGATTGTGATTTTAAGCATTTGATATAGATAACTGCATTTGTAATGTAATTACCTGTATTTATTGCACAATTAGAGATATCTGTATTTAAAATATAGACATCTGTTATTAAAATGCATAGTCAGGTTGAGTCACACTTGATATGTGGATGTAAGGACATTTAATGGCTGATAATTATGGAGGTGGAACAATTGCTAAATATGTGCAGAAATTTAACAGGAAATATGATTTTTATCCTATTGTATTCACATGTACATTATTGTACAAGGACTGGACAACAGGTATAAGATGTAGTGTTTGAACATATCTAATATGTGGAAGCTAGGGCCTAAATTTATATTTGAAGGCCAGTGTAGGACCTTAACACACAGTACATGAATTGTCTAACGCACAGTTGCTATATCCAGTTCTACTGTATTAAAGTGTGTGTGTGGGGGGGG